GGGTCTCCTGTTTTGTAGGCAGATTCTCTACTAAGCCACCAGAGAAACCCCTTTATTTCCATAATGGTTGATAATCATACCTTTTTGGATTAGGTATTATTTTTGATAGAATTTCTTACATTTCTAAGTAGATAGGAATATATTTCTTTTTTAAACTTTGTTATTAATTGTAGTTGAATTGCACTGTGTTAAAAAAATGCAGTCTTTGTCATTTCTGATTTGGGGGATTTATGTTTTCTTCCATTCCTTCTCCTAGAATTTATTTCTTCTTGTTGTTCAGAGTCATGTCTGACTCTTTGCAACCCTTTGGACTACAGCACACCAGACTTCCCTGTCCTTCACTGTCTCCTGGAGTTTGCTCAAACTCATATCCATCGTGTTGATGATGTTATCCAACCATCTCACCCTCTATTGTCCCCTTCTCCTCCTGACATCAGTCTTTCCCAGCATCAGGATCTTTTCCAGTGAGTTGGCTCTTCACATCAGGTGGCCAAAGTATTGGAGCTTCAGCATCAGTCCTTCCAATGAATATTCAAGGTTGATTTCCTTTAAATGTATAGAATTCATTTAGCTTTATATAAATTTAATTAATATTCAGGGTTGATTTTCTTTAAATTTAGTTAAATTTATAGAATTTATTTAAATTTATATAAATGTTTCATAGAGCTTTGAAAATAAGATACACTTTCATCTTTGATGTTTAGAGCTTGATGTATGTTAATTTCAACTTGTTAATCATACTGTGGCAATTTGATTTTTAATTCTTTACTTGACTCTCATAGATTGACTCATTTGCATTCTGTTTGTTTATATAAAATAAAATATACTCACCATAGTAGTGTTTATAACTGATAGAAGTATTGCTTTATATGGCTTGATGGGCTGTGATTTTCAGTATAAATATTCATGGCGGTCATCATAAAATTGATGAAAGTCATACCTTTCTTCATAAAATTATCTTCTACTCCAAGGTTTGAGTTTTTAGTCTTTTCCCTCCTATTTTCAAAATATTAATATTGCTACACCTGTTTTTTTGTTGTTGTTCATATTTATCATCCTTCTGTGCTTGACCTTAGTCTTTGGCATCACTTTAAGTGTACCTTTGGAAGATATTATGTCATTGGATTTTTAAAGAAATATAACATTTTATTTTCAGTCAAAAATTGAGCCATTTCATATTTTTAAATGTAATCATTATGTCTGATTTTGCTTCTGTCATCTTGCTTTATGCTTTTTGTTTCTAATTTTTTGGTCTTTTTCTGCACAAACATTTATGATTGTTCATATTTTCTGCAATGATTTGAAATGTAAGCATTCTTTTTTTATTCCTTCTTAGAGTTTGCCAAAGATGTTCTTAAAAGAGGTTAACTATCAAATGGATTTATAGCCCACCCTTTGCTCTAGTTCTGAGTCCTTGAATTAAAGTTTGCTACCTTCTGCTAGAGCATTCACTTTCTGAGACGAGACAGCAGCTGTTTGAGGGACGACACTTGTGCCTTCTTGAGTGTCTTCCAGTGGTAGCTGCAACTGTGTCTTAAAGAACTTCCCTGAAAGTTTCTACCACGTGGATCACACCTCTCTCTGATTTCTAGTATTGATTCCAGTCTCTCCTTTTCCTCCCCCTATTTCATTTTTCTTTTATCATTTCTAGAAGAACGTAGGAGAGGGCAGCTAACAGTCTGTATACAAACCTTCATCTTGTCAGAAACTTGGCATGTCATATATTAAAAAGAAACTAGACCTGGATGGGACATGAAATTATGTCAAATTATATATAGTTTAAGAAAGGGAAGAGCTTTTGTCTGGAAAAGAGAAAATCTTAAGTGTACTGTGACAGTTATCTCTGGTGCCATGTCGTGCGGAGTAGACTGACTATGTTTTGCCTCACAGACTAGGACTGGGACCAGGGTGAGCAAATGAAATCTGTCCACACTGCTAGGAGGAGAATCCATCTTAAATGGGGACGAGTGTTGAACTGTTTAATTTCTAAGGTTCTTTCCAACACTGTTTTTCCTTTAATGTAAGTTTGACATTTTTTGCAATGTTGGATATAAAACAGTTTTCTTCCCCAAATTTATAATGTATAAGAAATAAATGTAGTGCTTGTTAAAATAAATATATCTGAGCCCAGAAATTTTGATTTGTGTAAGTTTGGGGTAGGATCTAGTACTCTGTATTTTCTCTGGTTAATTTTAAGAATGTAGCATAATCTTTAGGTAAATTAAGTTTATAAAAATGCTATTCTCTGGCATTTTATGATTTGCTTTTAGAGTGTATTTCATGTAACACATTCTTTTTTTTTTGTAACACATTCTTTTTAAAAAATTTTTTATATTGGAGTATAATTGATTCACAGTGTTGTATGTAAGTCACTCAGTCATGTCTGAGTGGGTAGCCTTTCCCTTCTCCAGGGGATCTTCCCAACCCATGGATTGAACCCAGGTCTCCCACATTGCAGGCAGCTTCTTTACCAGCTGAGCCACAAGAGAGGCCCAAGAATACTGGAGTGGGTAGCCTCTCCCTTCTCCAGTGGATCTTCCCAACCCAGGAATCGAACCAGGGTCTCCTGCATTGCAGGCAGATTCTTTACCAACTGAGCTATGAGGGAAGCAAAGTTGTGTGAGTTTCAGGTATACAGCAAAGTGATTTACACACACACACACACACACACACACACACACACATGTTCTTTTTCAGATTCTTTTCCACTACAGGTTATTATAGAGTACTGAATTCAGTTACCTCTCCTATGCAGTAGGTCCTCCTTGATTACCTATCTTATATATTGTAGTGTGCAACACATTCTTTGTTGATAGTAACCAACACTTTGTAGTGTGCAACACATTTTTTATTGATAGTAACCATCACTATGAACAAAGCTGGTGGAGGTTATGGAATTCTAGTTGAGTTATTTTAAATTCGAAAAGATGATGCTGTTAAAGTGCTGCACTCAATATGCCAGCAAATTTGGAAAACTGAGCCGTGGCCACAGGACTAGAAAAGGTCAGTTTTCATTCCAATACCAAAGAAGGGCAATGCCAAGGAATGTTCAAACTACTTTACAGTTGTACTCTTTTCACATGCTAGCAAGGTAATGCTCAAAATCCTTCAAGCTAGGCTTCAACAGTATGTGCACCAAGAACTTCCCAATGTACAAGCTGGATTTAGACAAGACAGAAGAACCAGAGAGCAAATTGCCAACGTCTACTGGATCATAGAGAAAGCAAGAGGATTCCAGAAAAACACCTACTTCTGCTTCACTGACTAAGCTAAAGACTTTGAATGTGTGGATCATAACAAACTGGGAAAATTCTTAAAGAGATGNCCTAGGCCCTGGGAAGCTGGGTTAAGTCCTATTGTGGCATCTCCTACACAGCCTTGCTTCTTGGCTTCTGGCTGGGTTAGGCCAATGGGAAACAATGATGGAACTCTCAAGGAGAAGTGGGGATATTTCTCCTCTCTTTACTTCCTACTAGGGCTGTGTTGGAGGAGACTCTTGAGAGTCCCTTGGACTGCAAGGAAATCAAACCAGTCAAACCTAAAGGAAATCAACCCTGAATTTTCATTGGAAAAAACTGATGCTGAAGCTGAAGCTCCAATACTTCAGTCACCTGATGTGAAGAACTGACTCATTTGAAAAGACCCTGATGTTGGGAAAGATTGAAGGCTGGAGGAGAAGGGGCCAACAGAGGATGAGATGATTGGACGGTATCACCAACTCAATGAACATGAGTTTGAGCAAACTCTGGGAGATAGTGAAGGACAGGGAAGCCTGGCGTGCTGCAGTCCATGTGGTTGCAAAAAATCGTACACAACTGAGGGACTGGATAACAACAACAACACTTTGGTGGTGTCCAACGCTAAGTCATGTCCAACTCTTGTGTCCCCATGAACTGTAGCCCACCAAAGTATCTGTCCATGGGATTTCCCAGGCAAGAATACTGCAGTGGGTTGCCATTCCCTTCTCCAGGGAATCTTTCTAACCCAGGAATCAAACCCTGCTTTGCAGGTTTGCTTTTTACTGAGTGAGCTACCAGGGAAGTCCTCAAACCCACACTTTAAAATGTTGTAAATATTATTTTAATTCATTATTGAATTAAATTATTTTAATTCATTGGTTCGAGTTAGGTGTAAATGTAATTATTTTATAACATTTGCTGATACAATTAGGATTTTGTAAAGAGATGGAAAATGGTACTAAAAGTGCTAGTAATGAAGAAAACAATTGAAGTCAACAATTCTACATAAAACTGTCAATTTGGGTACTGGCAGAAGCAGACACCAGGATGGAGTTTGAAGTAAAGATAAAGGGAAGGGAGAGCGGGGAAAGACAGAGTCTTCAGACTGAGATATGAGTTGATACCTGTGAAATTTGAGAGAGGGAACGAGAAAGGATGTGGGATGGAGATCCTCAGACAGACAACTCTGAGGCAGTCTGAGCCAGCCAGATGGTCAGCTCCGATATAATAACTGGCCACAGAAGAGGCCACTGTTGGGCAGCCTTGGCCAGGCCCTTCTTCTCCGGTGGTTCTTACTTTTTGACTGACAGCTTGGTGAGAAGAGTATGGCCTCTGCTCCAACATGGTTGCAGATCTGAAATGCTGTAGCTGGTACTGTCAGCCACCTGGCCTCCTAGCTACAGTCGTTCTCTTAGAGGGAAGCTGAGCAGGACGCATTCATGGCTGCTTTAAATCCAGGCCGTATTTTTCCCAATACTGGGGGTGTGTGTATGCTTACCTGGAGGCGTAATTTGACATCATCTGTGCTGATGTCTTACGACTTCTGTTTGCTTGACTCTACTTTTATTGCTTTGTGTCAGCTTCCATTTCATCCTGTTTTTTCATGTATCAGGTGTACAATATGAGTGATGCTATTTGCGTATAATTTTATTTAAATTGATATAAAAATAAAATACTGCTTGTGAGGATGTGATAGTAAAAAATGCTCTGTAAAGATGTGGGTGTTTAAAAACTCAAGAGTCTTTCATGTTATTCCTGTAGTCTGGCGGCAAGAAGAACTCACACGCATTAACCAGTCTTTCACTGGAGCTGAAAGGAAAGCTGCTTTGTGTGAACTTCTGGAAAAAGAGACGCAGATAATTGCTTCCATTGGGAGACATAGATATATCACTTACACAGAGAACCAGGAAGCAGAGATACAAAGTTTTTTGGATAAGGTTAGTGAAGTAACATTATTTAAATATGAATGTGTCCTGAGTTTAAAAATATAGGATAATGAACTAAAGAAGACAATTACATTGTAAGAATTTTCATGAGTTTTGTTTAGTATTTTTGGTGACATAATTTTTGAAATTTTGTATAATTTTGAAATTACTGAAATTTTGCATAAATTTTCTTCTTTTCTTACACAGCTTTAGATTTTCACTGCAGCCTAGAATAATGATTGATAAGTAACATGAAATTAACATGTTCTTAACAAAAGAGCTTTGGCCGTGAAGGAAAACATGGAGACACCATCCTTGTGACTCTGTTCATTTAGACTTAGGCTGCCTATAGAAATTGGGTGAATTGCACATCCCACTGAAATGTAGACTATAGCAGTCACAAAATGTATGGATCTGTGGTGCCCATAGTAAGCCACCTGGGCAAAGAGCTATGGATTAGTGTTTCTGCTTTTGCTTATTAGGTCATTAACTCACTGAAAATTTCTAACCAAAAGGATATATGATTATTGAAAACCATGAAAACATACAATTAAGGGAAAAACTAAAGTAATTACCCTTTTGTGGTAAAACTGCCTGTTTAATATTGGATAGCCTGTTTCCATAGTGACCAATTTCCTTTTATAAACTTGATCTCTCCAAACAATTAAAAGCCTATCCAGCCACAAGAAGAAAAGGGATGGAGTTCTTTAAAATATTTGCCGGTAATGATTCTAATAGTTATGCGATTGTTGTTATTTGAGAACATTTATTTTTTAAAAACCATAATTTTTGATATTATAAATGCCTCCTACTCATCTTGTACACTCTCCTGTTTGATCTCAATTTTTCTTGTGGCTTTAACTCCTACCTGCATCCTGGAGCTCCCTAGTTTCAGGCCAGAACTCTCTTATGAGCTTGCAAATCACGTACTGAATTGCCTACTCTTTTGCTCCTTGGATGTCCCACAGTACAACTCAAGCTGACATGTCAACTCCTACTTCATCTCGTCTTACCATTCCTCATCCCCTCACCTCCAAATTGAGGCTCCTATTCTGTAGCACTCACATAGTTTATCTCCATGAATGTTTCATCATGCACTTAAGTTGCTTCAGGCAGAAACCTGGGCATTATTCTTGATGTCCTGCGTAGCCACCATCCTCTCTGTTCTGTTAGTTTAATCACTGCCTCAATTCTTTACTTCTTCCTTACAAACTGCCTACCACTGCCTATAGGCAGGTGGCTCTGCCGTGACACATTGATGACCTTGCATGTCTACAAATAGGCCATGTAGGCAAAGACTTGAACTGCAGCTAATGTGAGTCTTGGTGGAATGCCTTGTGCTCCTGTTGTAACTCGAGAGGGTGGGAAGCTTCTGAGGAGATGTTATGGAGCACCTCAGCTTTCCTGCTTCCCTCTCTCTCCCTGGGAGGCTGTCATGAGAAGGTCTCAATTTGGGTGTGAGAGCTGGACACTGATTTAATTGGATCTGGGTTTCCTTCCCATCTGGATTCCTTTATGTCCCCAAATGAGGCTTTCAACCTCCAGGTTCACTTCTTAATTCCCTCCCCCATCTTCCATATTGCTGCCATAGGGACCTCATCCCACACAGCTCCTCCCCTGCCCTCCGGGAACAGGACTTTTTTAGTCGATTCTTGGCACACTTGACCCATCCCATTATCCCTGCTCACGCACCACAGCCAGACTTCCAGTTACACCCTCAGTTGCACATTCACAGAAAAACCACATGCTCTCAGTGCTTTTGCTTCTGCTGTGGCCTCTGCATGTAGCATCCTTTCCTTCCTTCCTCAGTAACCAGCTACTCACCCTTCAAAACAAGCTCAGATACCCCTTCTTCCAAAAAGGACTCCTGACTCTCTTACTTTAGCCTGTACTGTATACCTTCATGGGCTTCCCCGGTGGCGCTAGTGGTGAAAAATCCATCTGCCAATGCAGGAGACATAAGAGACACATGTTCTATCCCGGGGTTGGGAAGATGCCCTGGAGAAGGAAATGACAACCCATTCCAGTATTCTTGCCTGGAGAATCCCATGGACAGAAGAAACTTAGCACACTTGCTTGCATATACCTTCATAAGACTTTGTTTCACTTCCGTCTTAGTGCATAGTGGTCAGTTTTATTGTCAGGATTATGTCTGAATCCTCCTGGATTCTGAACTTCTTAAGGCAAGAGCTATACTTTTATCTCCATATTCTCATATCCTAGCTCAGTGCTCATCATAGAGTATCAATAAGTGCTTGTGGAGGAAAGTAGGGAGGAAAAATAAGGAACAGAAATACTGCTTTTGTAATTTTATATTTCAGGTACCATAAGAAAATATGCAATGTAGATGCTATCGTTTCAAATGCTTAAATATCTTCATTCTAGAAACGGTGAGTCCTACTGTATGGAAGCCATCATATTCACACTTCTCCTGAGTCATATTTTGAACTAAACATAATTCCTTTTAGCAAGTTGCTTTTTGTTGAATCCAACTTCATCACTGGGCACTGTGTTCCTTATGTGTCTGATTGTTAACTGTCAGAGGGCCGCGTGAACCCAGGGCTCAAGAAGGAGCTGAGGCCTCTGCGGTGCCAGTGGCCCTGGAAGAGGGTGGCACTTACCTGCCTTGTTTAAGACTGAACCTTGCGCTGGATTTCCTGCTTCTGCTTTATCTGCTGCTTTGTTTCCTTTAGGCTATTTTAAATTCTTCTTGTAAGTACTTATACAATGTTTATTCTTCATTATGCCTTTATACCCCTCACCCCACCCCCAACTTCCAACCTCATGTCTAGCAAAATCTCTAATCATGTTTGAAGTATAGAGAGGCCAGAGGGAGATCAAGTCCCAACATATAAAAGTGCTTCTGGAGCCAGTTGATGATGGTTACTTCTGTTGTCAAGTATAGCTAAGAAGTTCTTTCCGTTTCAGTTCAGTCGCTCAGTCGTTTCTGACTCCTTGCAGCCCCATGGACCGCAGCATGCCAGGCCTCCCTGTCCATCACTAACTCTCAGAGTCTGCCCAAACCCATGTCCACTGAGTCGGTGATGCCATCCAACCATCTCATCCTCTGCAATCCCCTTCTCCTCCTGCCCTCAGTCTTTCCCAGCATCATGGTCTTTTCAAATGAGTCAGCTCTTCCCATCAGGTGGCCAAAGTATTGGAGTCTCAGCTTCAACATCCATCCTTCCAATGAACAGCCAGGACTGATCTCCTTTAGGATGGACTGGTTGGATCTCCTTGCTGTTTCCAAGGGACTCTCAAGAGTCTTCTCCAACACCACAGTTCAAAAGCATCAATTCTTTAGCGCTCAGCCTTCTTTATAGTCCAACTCTCACATCCATACATGACCACTGGAAAAACCATAGCCTTGACTAGATGGACCTTTGTTGGCAGNTGTCTGGCTCTAGGTGAGTGATCACACCATCATGATTATCTGGGTTGTGAAGATGTTTTTTGTACAGTTCTTCTGTGTATTCTTGCCACCTTTTCTTAATATCTTCTGCTTCTATTAGGTCCATACCACTTCTGTCCTTTATTGAGCCCATCTTTGCATGAAATATTCCCTTGGAATCTCTAATTTTCTTGAAGAGATCTCTAGTCTTTACCATTCTGTTGTTTTCCTCTATTTCTTTGCATTGATCACTGAGGAAGGCTTTCTTAACTCTCCTTGCTATTCTTTGGAACTCTGCATTCAAATGGGTATATCTTTCCTTTTCTCCTTTGCTTTTCGCTTCCCTTCTTTTCACAGCTATTTGTAAGGCTTCCTCAGACAGCCATTTTGCTTTTTTGCATTTCTTTTTCTTGGGGATGGTCTTGATTCCTGTCTCCTGTACAATGTCACGAACCTCTGTCCATGGTTCATCAGGCACTCTATCAGATCTAGAGTTCTTGAAATTTCTCCCAAAAAGATGAGATGTGGACATTTTGTTCATGAGAATTCCTGTGAAGAAGACGTTAGTTTGTTGTCGTTTGTTTTGTTTTCTTGTTTGGTAAATATGTTGATTAGTTTAAGGGTCAGATCCGAGACCCTGTATGATCCTGAGTGTAGGAAGAATTGCCAGGTAATCGTGCCAGAAGCATGGAGGTCCTTGAGTGTTGCTGGAGAGAAGGAAGGGGAGGACACAGTTAGAGGTCAGTGGGGCACAGTGTGGCTTCTGTGATTTCATTCATTACAGCACTAACTAATAGAAGTATTTAGTGCAAGAGGATTCTTTCTTTTTCTTTTTTCTATAAGAGGAAAAAGAACAAGAGAAATGACTAGGCCTTAGCATCCAGACTGATTCAGGGCAATGCACAAAGATGCAAGATCAGAAGATTGCAAAAAGAATGAAAATGCTGGCCACAAGAACTTGTAGAAATCACGAAAAAGGTTTTTTGTGGGTTGAGGTTTTAGAATTGGGGTTCTGAACCTATGGTTACCCCAGCTGATAAACCACTTAATCTCACCAATCTCCAGGCTAAGACTCAGAAGAAATGGATGTTTTAGCTGATATAAGAGAGTTTTACCTCAGTTTTGACCAAAATGTTACATAGGGTAAGACAAATACAACAATGGACTAGAACAACTACACTTGAAATCAGTGCTCATTTGATGAGATAACGTAATTTATCCATTCTCTAAAAATATTGACTAGTGGTGGCTTTTGGCCTGCTTTTAACCTCTATAGTAAACTGTGAAATCTTTGTTACTCTAATACAAAATTAATTTAAATTACCTTTTTGTATATGGTGCTGTAATGAACATCGTAGAAAACAGTTAGGTAGATTTTATAGTTAGTCCTTTGTTATAAATTCCAATGCCAGTTCCTTCCTTTTCATGCCTGGCTGCCTCTTCCCACCCCACCCTACCCATGCCTGGCAATGTCTCTAATAAGTATTCAGGAAGAGTCAGCACTGATTTCATAAAACTTGAAGTAACTTATTCTACAGGTTTTTTTGATTGCTAAGAAAAAAACAGCTTGAATTAATTCTTAAGGCTAGACCAGGTCAGAGCGTTTTGAAATGTGAATACTAACAACCAGGACCATGATGTGGATTTTAAGATCCACATTTCATGCCATAATATATGGATATATAAAGAGAATATTTACTTTCCTATAATTTGGAAATAACTTTGGAAAATGATATTTCATGGTTTGGTTTTAGTTTAATTTCAATGTGTCTAAGTATTATGTAGTATATTGAATTAATGTTTATATTTTATCGAGGACACAGAATTTTTCTTGAGTAATGGAATGATGATTGTTTTGTATTAGTCCAATAAAAGCACTGAACTAATCAGTTATTAGGGTTCTATACTAAGCCTATATTCTCCATAAAAGGGTTAATTTATTTAACCCTTTAAGATTTTTGAAGCATTATTTAAACAGTCTAATTTTATCCCATCAAACATTGACAGCCACAGGTTGTCAAATGTTAAAAACTCGCAAATTGACAGAGGTGAAGAAATTCAGGTCAAGAAATTTTAAAGAAAAATCATCAACCAGTTTCTAATATATCTTGGGTGCTGCTTACCGAAACTGTGTAAAGAGACAATTTGAATTTGAATTTCTGCAAAAGGTTTTCCTGGGGTCAAGGCCATTTATTTCTTTGAATCTCTTTGATTCACATACTGTGTCTCACAATCACAAGCTAAAAAACTGCAATCTGTGTTAACTGTGTCATTTAGTTTTGTTTTTCTCCTCACTCAGGTGGCCAGCAGCTAATGGGATGGAAAAATGCAACCAGCTCTTTCCTCTCTCTCAGCACCACAGTACACAGGGGTGTCCTCTGTGTATGAACAAAATCCCTTGGCTGTGTAAAAGAAAAGTTGATCACTACCCAGTAGCTCTGGGGGTTAGTGTTATTCTTAACTTGTGCCCTGAGGGACTAGAGTATTAATTTAGGGGAAAGAAAAGCCGTGCTCTCATAGTGCAGTCATTTCTTCTCTTTGGTGGAAGCTTGCTGCTCTCAAGGTTTTTGTTATCTCACCACCTTCCCGTCCTCAAAGTGTGTCTTCCTGCTGTCCTTCTGTTTCTCTCCTCCAGAATCTATGCTGTCTCATCTGTTGGCACCTAAATGGAATTTGTTATGCTCTTGTTTTCTGAAGCAATTTAAGAACATGACTATTGTTCATCTGTTATTAAAGCCACAGAATTCAAAGAAAAAAAATAGAAAAGAGAAGTAAGCAAAATTGACATTTTCCTGCCTCAGAGTAATAAAAATTACCTTAAAGACTGAAATCAAAAAATCTTAGACTTGAAGACCATGTTATCCGTGTTGACAGAAATGTATCCAAGTATCAAAACAACTTTGCCAAACAAATTTTTTTTTTTTAAATATCTTTTCAGTGTTGACACTAGGGAACTCAAACTTTGAATCTAGGACTCTCTGATTGTATCACTCAGTTTACTTTTAATCTGGCTAATTCTTAGTTCTTTTTCAGTTTTATCTTAAATATTATTTTCTTTTTACCAGTTAAGTGCTTCATATTAACTTGAAGTTACCTGTTTACCTGCATCAGAAGCATAATCAACTTTTATTTCAATTATTTTTAAATTTTTCTATGCTGTTAGATTGGAGTTCATGAAATTGGAATTTATCTACTTGCTACCTAGTACATGGAATAATATACAATAAACACAATAAATATTTCTTGAATGAATGAGTGAAAATTGTAGGCCCTGTGAAATATATAAAGCTACATAAGAAATTTATTTCTTATAATCTGTAAGGAAAATAGAATTAGCAAACAAAATAATTATAGAACTATTTGGACCCAAATTGCATTGCCCTGAGTTATTGAAATATAGATACTGCATATGCTGTGTGTGTGTTTGTTTTTAACAAATACAATAGAACTTTGGATAATAGTGATTTCAGTGGTTTCATACCACAGTAGTTAAGAATCTTTACAAAAAAGAGGATTTAAGTTAAAAATTGAAGGGTAGAAAGGATTTGATGTTGAATATTTTTGGAAAAATACAGGGTATTACTATATTGTAGTATCTTAGATGGGACCAAGAACTTGGAGGAAAGGTAGAATTAAATCAATACCACAGCTAAGAAGCACCACAATAGAGTAGATGAACTAAGCATTTCATTAAAAGGTTATTGTACTTGGATTATTACAAATGAAATAACTTATCAGCCTGCAGAGCTGAAGGTATTGTTCACATTATTGGAAGAAAAGAAAAGAAATTACATTTAATAGCATTTCCCTGAGGAAAACTCTGCAGATTAAGGCTTTAGACTTTAGAAGGTTGCTGTATGAAATGTATCCTAAGATTGCTTATTCCTTAGAAGTTTCAAAAAGAGCTTTGCAATAAATAATAGATTTCAATAACACTCTGAGATCTACCCCAAACAAGGGTATATCCATGAAAACAATGTATTTTTAAAATTTCCAAGTGATATTAATTAAATCATAAAATATTTTTTATTGAGCTATTTCCCTCTTATAATCTTAATAAATCTTATTAATTCTATCAGTCTGATAATTAACTTTACATTATTTAATATTAGATTTATGCTCTAAAAATAGAAATTAATCAGAGAGCTGCAGCTTTTCATTTGCTAGATTAAAACTAGAACTGAGGATCTAAAGTTTCTAATGAAGATTCCTAGCTCTGCACAACATCCACTTTACCTTTGATCAGAAAATGATGCCATTACTTTGAAAACATATCAAATACATTTGTTGTTAAATAGTAGTTTGATAGTTTTCAATGTAATTGAGCTAATATGAAATGTAAAAAAAAAAAAAGGTAAATTGAGGCTGTAACTAAGAATTCCTCTTACTGTTGTCATACTAAATAAATACAGGTTTGTATAGTTTCTCTATCTGGCTATTCTACATTCCTGATGATTTGTTCCAATATGTGGGCTTCTCTTTAAGCTTTAAACTGTATCAAATCTGAGATTGAAATGCTTGCAAGTATGGCATAAATTGAACTACAGGTCTCCCAAGCCTCAAATTATCAGTCTACAAAAAATACAACATTGAACGGTTAGAAGTTCTGATCAACATAGTCACCTTTTTTGATAAATTATAATCAGGGAAAGAAACTCAGCAGCTTTATACCTTAAAGTAGAACAGTCACTGAGTTTTCACTGTGCTCTTTCTAGGTCAACAAATCTTCTCTTAAAGTTTTGGTAGTCTTGGCAGGAGGGAACCAAAGCACTGGCAAACATAGTCTCTAAATACTCTGTTGGTGTCCTGAGTCAGCTGAGGACTCACTATTTCCTGTCTCTGAATTCTTAGAGTGGGACTCCCTGTATGAGCTTCAGGGCAAATTAACTCCATCTGTGACCCTCAGTTCAGGAGGTGGGCTAGGTTGAGACGCACCAAGCCAGATCTGGAAATAGAAAGTGAGAGTCTTGCCGATCATCAGGGAGGCAGGGGCCAAAGCACTTGCTAACATAGCTAAATACAGATGTTTTCCTGTGGACGTCTGCTTTGTAAAGAACTGTGAACTTGTTACGGATTTATTTTTATGGGAAACAGAACCATAACTGAGTTCCATTTCACTGTAGTTGTAGGTCTGACACATTGAGGATTGTAACAATTGTTCCACAAAGGTCGTTCTCAATTGTCAAGGCACATTCATCCAATTCAACATAATTGAAACAAGTAGATTATCTTTTTAGCATTCTAAATAGCATGTTTTTCCCAAGGGGGTAATGAGTTATTTCACGAATCCATCAAGCTAACCATCATACTTTGTTGTTGTTTAGTCAGTTGCATCCAACCCTTTTGCAACCCTATGGACTGTAGCCCAGCAGGCTGCTCTGTCCATGGCATTTCCTAGGCGTGAGTACTAGTGTGGGTTGCCATTTCCTCCCCCAAGGCATCTTCCGGACCCAGGGATCAGACCTGAGCCTCCTGCATCTCCTACATTAGCAGGCGGATCCTTTACCACTGAGCCACCAGGGAAACCCAGCGATCATACTAGTTAGTACAAATAAGTAGCAAATTCTGAATCTTGAGAAAATATTTGCACTTCTGTAGACTGAAGCTCTCTGATATTTCTTCCCCTAAATTGTTTTATTTTCCCGTGGTCTACAAATTCTTTAATTAATTTTCTAGTCAGAGCCAACTTAATGACTGAAAAACAAAGTTTTAGTGATATTTTTATTCCTAAATCACCCGATGATAAAGTTAACTTACAGTAGACGGAATAAAGTTATTTTTGAAACTTTAATTAACTGATAGTTATAAACATAATATTATTTTTTAAGTGTTCAGCTCCAAAGACATGGAGAAGATTTGATGGCAAAATAATTGAGTTGGATACACAATTTACCATCAGAGCCAGAGAGCTGCAAAACATCTATAACTGCATCATGCTGAAGAATGTCTCTCACGATGAGAGGCTGGATGTACTCTTAACGCTTAAACATACAGTAAAGGTACATTAACTTTCTCTTAGTTTTTGGGTGTCACATCATCAGTAAAAATATTGAATACTAAAATAAATGTTTTCTATTAAGTAATTATAAAGATAATAAATTATTAATCTTATTTTGTCAACAATATATCATTTGGGTACAATTTGGGGAGGATATGGTTTATGCATTAGTATTTATCTAAAAGTTCTCAAACTATATGATACATACTAATGTATATATCACACAGTGAATAACCTAAATATAAATGTCTCTTTTGAAATGAATGCAGTTATATATAGCATGAGATTAATACTCAATAAAACAGTAATTATTGTCTATATATTCTGACACTTGTGATGAAAATTTTATTTTTATCCGTTTTAAAGCAGCATTTGTATTTTTATTTCTTTTTCCTTATCAGTTATTGATTTAAGGCACATTAAGTAGTTGAGTAAATGGTTCTGATTGGAAGCTCAGTCTCCATAGTTCTTTCACATTACTGCCCATCTTGAAAGCAAAGGCATGAACTCAAATTAGGTTATTGGCTGCCTTTACAGAGATGTGTGTCTTGTAACTATGCCTTTGAAGTTAGAGATGGTTAGGAGGAGAAGGAGAAGCAGCAGGTTCAGAGGCAGGAAATAAACATGATCTCTTTAGAGGGCAATAAAATGACCAGATTGGCAAAAAGAGAGTTCCGGTAGGGAGTGCAGTAGAGTACATAGAGTAGGGACGTACAGTGGTGCATCCTCTTACCGGATGTGATCAGGACCATTAGCTGGTTACTTAAAAGAGTCAGAGGGCAGACTCATAAAAGGTAAGTTGTGCATATATTAATACATTTAACCTAACATAACCACATACACATTTACTGAACGATATTTGATGGAGGATCAAGGCCTTTAAGCATAATTCAAATTCTGATCCTATTTATTGTGGCTGTACAACCTTAGATAAGTTATTGAGTATTTCTGAAGCTATTGTTATCTGTAAAGTTAGTTGCTTTGAGGATATAAATATATACCTGTATATATACTTCTACATACATCTGTATATACAATATAAATAAAATATATAATTTGTATGTCTCAATGTTTACAAATAGGGAGCCCTCAATAAATAAGAAGTATTATTTTGATGACAGTTGCTCATACAGACCAGTGAATCTTGAACTTGAATATACATTAGAATCATCTGGACAGCTTGAAAGAGATAAAGAATTATATAGAGAAATGGGGAGAGAGAATATGAGAATAAATCAATAGGAATGATATCTAGACCCCATTTCAGAACAGGTCAGTTGGATCCTCAAGTGTGATAGCAATGTTAAGATTTTTAAAAATCACTCCAGGTCATTGCAATGGGCTCTCAAAGACAACCGATGCAGATCCTTTTATTAGCCATACCAAGTATGCATTAAAAAAAAGAAGAGCATGATTTTATAATTACTGACTTTACCTTCTGATTCCTTCATTCAAACTATGTTTCTTGTAGTCCCTCTTGGGAAGTTGGAGCAACTTGATTCTATTTTATTACTTTTAAATACTTCTACTTTAATCACTTAACTCTTATTTGGCCTTTCTTATTCAATCACTTCAATTATTTTATTTAAAATGATTGTGAACTATATAAATATACAGAAATAAACGTATCAAGTATATATCTGCAAACGTAAAACTACCAACCCTGTTGCCACCCTCCTGGGCCCAAAACAGGACTTGGTCAGCATCTCCTTTTCTCTTCATATTTTCAATTTACCTTCTCATCCTCTAAAAGTAATTACCATGCTTTCTTTTTCTTTTTTTAAAAAAATATTGTTTATTTGTTTATTTCTAGTTGCTCTGGATCTTTGTTGCTGCGCACAGGCTTTCTCTAGTTGCAGCAAGCAGGGGATACTCTCTAGTTGAGGTGTGAGGCTTCCATTACAGTGACTTCTTTTGTTGAGGAACACAGGCTCTAAGTGCACGGGCGTACTTGCTCTGCAGTTTGTGGAATCTGTCTGGACCAAGGATCAAGACAGTGTCCCCTGCATTGGCAGGCAGATTCTCAACCACTGGACCACCAGAGAAGTCCCATACTTACTTTCATGGTAGTCATTTCCTTGATTTTTGTTCATAGTTACCAAACAATAGAATGGGAAAGACTAGAGATCTCTTCAAGAAAATTAGAGATACCAAGGGAACATTTCATGCAAAGATGGGCTCAATAAAGGACAGAAATGGTATGGACCTAATAGAAGCAGAAGATATTAAGAAGAGGTGGCAAGAATACACAGAAGAACTGTACAAAAAACATCTTCATGACCCAGATAATCACAATGGTGTGATCACTCACCTAGAGCCAGACATCCTGGAATGTGAAGTCAAGTGGGCCTTAAGAAGCATCACTACGAACAAAGCTAGTGGAGGTGATGGAATTCCAGTTGAGCTATTTCAAATCCTAAAAGATGATACTGTGAAAGTGCTGCACTCAATATGTCAGCAAATTTGGAAAACTCATCAGTGGCCACAGGACTGGAAAAGGTCAGTTTTCATTCCAATCCCAAAGACAGGCAATACCAAAGAATGCTCAAACTACCACACAACTGCATTCATCTCACACGCTAGTAAAGTAATGCTCAAAATTCTCCAAGCCAGGCTTCAGCAATAC